ACTAGTAAAGCGCTATATAAATACAGGCCATTTACCATTTACCATTTGGCCAGTACAACCTGGAGATTATCTCTCTGATCAACTTAAACTTACACTACATCATCTAAAAAAAATCAGAAATGAGATGCTAAGACCCACAAATCAACTGATTTTGACCTTACACCACCCACCCATCCATAAAAGTTCTTAACAGAAGCTCAGTACTGGTGAAGTCCAGTCCACTTACAATGTCAACCAATCTCTTGCTATAGTTTTACTGAGAGCAAATGGCCTGTAACCTTTGGCCTAATACACCATATTCCTGAGGCAAATCTCCAAAGGACACGTCAAGGGAAGCAATGAATGACTCCTTTGTGACTACAGAACATATGCTGATTTGTAGGATAGAACAAAAACTATATAGAGCTGGGACAAAGCTTCCCAGAGAGTCCCCTTTTCAAAAACTTACTGAGGACTTTCACCCCGGTTTGCCAATTCAAAATTACTGTTCACTTCCACATGATATTGCAGGTCAACCAAGAAAACCCAGAAGTATCCAGACTTGGAGTAATTCCCATGCCCAAGTTGCCTGGCCATTGGGGATCTTTTTTTCTTTAATTTAAGCTGTTCTAAAAGAGAAGGTTGTGTGATATTGGACAGAAACTCACACAATCTTTATTATTCTTGAGACAATAAAGAGTTGATCCAGGTGAACCACAACTAGAATGAAAGCTACACTGTTCCTCTTCAATCTGAGGTTTGACTAAAGGGTGGACTGATGACACTGACCTTCCCAGAGAGCTCCCTTGTTAAAGAGGGAAAACACTATCCCAGTTTACTGAAGACAGCCCTACAACAATAAAGACATGGGGAATTTTCATCCACCTCCCAAGGGTGGAACTTTTTTAACCCTGTGACCACAGCTACAGTGGTGGATGAGTTGTCCTACTTCTCCCCAGATGCTGCTCTTTTATTTATTTGTTTTTAAAGACAGATTTATGGCATTTTTACCTTTATTAGATAGTGGAGCAGTAAAGACAGACAGGAAAGTGGAATATGCTCCACTTGGACTCAGTGTCCACAGTGAAGATCTCCCAGACAGGGCCCTCCGCCATACATTCCCAGCCCAATCTATTAACAGTTCAACATCTCTGTTCACCCAAGTGTCCAAGACATAGAGCCATAGGTCTGATGGCCTTATTAGAAAATCAATCCTAGACTTGGCACTTAAGGTGTCCTGGCACCTAGTGTGCTTATGAACACCCCTATATTTGAACAAGGTGTCCATTACATAAGCCTTTCAGAGTTCACTGTCATTGTTCACATAAGCGCTGATGTTGCCCAGCAGGAAGAATGGAGTCTCTAAATAGGGCACTATCTAGCATCCCAGCATGGAC